CTGCATCTTGCCAGCATTTGTTATCTCTTGTTTTTTTGATGATAGCCATTCTATCAGGCGTGAGGTGGTATCTGATTGTGTCTTTGATTTGCATCCCCATGATGATTAGTGATGTTGAGTACCTTTTCATGTACCTGTTGGCCATTTCTTTTCTTTTTTTAAAAATATTTTATTTATTTATTTGACAGAGAGAGAGAGCACAAGCAGAGGGAGAAGCAGGCAGAGGGAGAGGGAGAAACAGGCTCCCCATGGATCAGGGAGCCCGATGCGGGGCTCGATCCCAGGACCCCGGGATCATGACCTGAGCCGAAGGCAGATGCTCAACTGACTGAGCCACCCAGGTGCCCCCCTGTTGGCCATTTCTATATCTTCTTTGGAAAAATGTCTATTCAAGTTGTCTGGATTTTTTTTTCTGCTATTAACTTATAGGAATTCTTTATATATTTTGGATATTAATGCCCTTATCAGATATATGGTTTACAAATATTTTCTCCCATCCTGTAGGTTGCTTTTGTATTTTGTTGATTGTTGATTCTGCTGTGCAGAAGTGTTTTCGTTTGATGTAGTCCCACTTGTTGATTTTTGCTTTCGTGCTGTTGGTGTTGTATTCAAAAAATCATTGCCAAGACCAATGTTGAGAAACTTTTTCCCTGTATTTTGTTCCAGTATTTTTAGTTTCAGGTCTTATGTTTAAGGTCCATTGCAAGCTAATTTTTGTGAGTGGTGCAGATTAGGGTCCAATTTCATTCTTTTGCATCTGGATATTCAGTTTTCCCAACACCATTTATTGAAAAGATTACCCTCTTCCCACTGAGTATTCTTGGCTGCCCTGTTAAACATTAGTCAACCATATATGCAAACATCCATTTCTGGGCTGTCATTCCATTGATTCATGTGTCCACCTTCATGCCAGTAATATGCTCTTTTTTTCTATGCTCAATGTGGGGCTCAAATTCATGGCCTTGAGATAAAGAGTTGCACATTCCAACGACTGAGCCAGCTAGGTGCCCTAGCAATATGCTCTTTTTATCCCTATGGCTTTGTAGAAGAGTCTGAAATCAGGAGGGGTGATGCTCCTAGCTTTGTTCTTTTTCAAGATTCTTTGATACTTTGGGATCTTTTGTGCTCCCATAGGAATCTTAGGATTGTTTGTTCCATCTCTGTGAAAAATGCCATTGGAATTTTGATAGACGTTGCATTGAATCTGTAAATGGCCTTGGGGAATATGGACATTTTAATAGTATTAACTCTTCCAACCCATGAACGCAGGATATCTTAATATTTATTTGTGTCTTCTTCAATCTCTTCCATCAGTGTCTTGAAGTTTGCAGTGTAGGATCTTTCACCTCCTTGGTCAAATTTATTTCAAGCCCTCTGCCCCTTATTCTTTACACTCCACATGCTTGTGCAGAGGCCACACATGTAGATGTCTTGTCACTCACTTCCTCCACCCAGCTACCAGACCAATGAAACTGGACATGAAGAAGAAGCACGTTCACTTATTCATTTTCTAATCAATAGGCATTTCCAGAGTGTTTACTGTATGCAAATCCTATCCTGGTTGCTAGGTATACACAGATCAATCAGGCCAAATCTGAACCCATAGAAGGTCCTGGTGGTAAAACCATGTCTTCATCAGGGAGCTTTGGAAGTTTTCGGGCTTAGTGGGGAAAGAGAATTCAGAGACCACATACACCAGGCCTTAGTCTGTGGAGAGAAAAGCAGGTCAGAGCTATAGCACTAGAACCAGCCAGATGGCCTCCAGGTCCACAGGCACCCCCCAGCCACCAGTCCCCAGCATCTCCTTAGGCTAGGCAGAGAGGGAGAATGGTGGCAGCAGAGTCAAATGAGCACTGCTCAGAGGTCAGGACCCCAAGTTCAAATCCTGACTTTTTTACTGCATCAGGGCCTTAGTTTTCCCATCTGTAAAATGTGGCCATTGGACTAATCCAAGTTGTTCTTTGTATTCTGGTGGTCCTATTGGGTTTGACCCTTGGTGTCAGGCTAGAATCCATTCGACCTGGGGAATAACCGTAGCAACAGCCCTCCATGTACAAGCGCTTTTCAGCGGACCAATTCCCTGGCTTGCACCACTGGTGCCTTGAAGGACATCATTACGCCCATTTGAATAGTGAAGAAAGTGAGTGTCGCCAAGTCTCAAGCGGGTACTGCCGCCGCCTGAGGCAATAAGCAAGGCCGAGGCAAAGCTGACATCCAAACCGAGGTCTCCTGAGCCCGGCAGCAGGGCTGCTCCTTGATGCTTCTCCCAGCTTCTCCCTCCTAGGGCGCAGCTCAGAGAGATCAGGCACGGAAGCCCTGGCATGGGAGACTCTCTCTCTGCCAAGGAGTGCAGAGGGTCGGTGGATTTAGGCCACAGTGGGGGAGGGGGATGTCCATCCAGGGGGTCCTATATCTGAGCCTTGTCCATCTTACCTTCCTCCAGGACCACGCACCGCTTCCTGCTCTTGCCCTTGTCCCGCTTTAGGCTGTGTCAGCCCAGAGTACCCTTTTTGCAAAAGTTTCGAGGGTTGAGCATCCTACACGTGCTTTTCACCACTGAAGACTTCCCAGGCTTCACCTGAACTGGAGAGAGCAGGTCCAGAGCCCAAGACCCTCCTGCTGTCCAGGACCCCAGCCCCGCCTGGCTGCCCAGCTCCATAGAAGCCACCCCCTCTCCCCTGTCCCCTACCCCCAGAGGCTGAAACATCTCATAAAGGAAGGCCTGATTCCTTTAAGCCAGTGGGCCCCCTGGGGGACTGACTGGTAGCTGAACCTCAGTCACTAGCCACTAATAAGATTTACAAAGTTGGCAGTGGCAGGGGCCTAGTTAGGCCTGGTCCCCAACCAGATTCAGAGGGAGCCCTGTAGCACCCCAAGACTCTCTGTCCTCTGTCTCAGCCTTTGCCCCTTCCTTGGAGGTAGGACCTTCTCCGCCAGGTTCAGAACATTTGTAGGACTCCTGCATCTTATTCAATAAGCATTGCTTCTTCACTGAGCATGACTGGTCATCCTGGCATGAACCTGAGGGCTGACCAACCTGGAGCCAGTTGGGGGGTTATAGGGGAGCAGGCTCTAGCTTTCTCTTCCTCTGAAGAGAGACAACATGGACAAGGAAGGAGTGCATGTGACAAATGCACAAAAGAGCTTCTTCTCAGGAAGTGAAGGAAGTCCCCAGAAGCCAAAAGGAAGGTGGGGGGGGGGTGGGGGGGGCAGTCATGACCCAGACACGGGCGAGGGGAGAGTGCCAGGGACAGCCTGATAGGTGGGCAATGAGAGTCACTGGCTCAGGAGGGTACGCATAGGGTTCACGTTCAGGCGTTCCTGGCCTGGGGAAAGATAGACATGCAGAACAAGGACCGACAGAAACAGAGAGAGGGAGAAAATAAAGACAAACATCTGGAAACATGATGAAAACTGAGTGTTAGAGACAGAAGGACAGGCAGACAGACAGACGGACAGACAGAGAGAGTAAGATACAGTAATAAAAAGTAAAATGAGTCAGAACTTCAAATATAACCAAATAGCTATCGAGAGGGAATGAGGTGAGGAGTAAGGGCACAAGGAGATGTAGAGCATGAGAGTGAGGTGAAGGACAACAGAGAGACAGAGGGAATATGGCGGACAGAGCTGTTTAGGCAAGGGCTGATTTCAGGTCATCCAGACACGCTCTCAGACGGAGTCCTCACAAAGAACCTGCCCAGTGTTTGTCTGAGTTCTCTTTCCCACCATGCCCAATGGAAGGACTTGATTGAACTCCTGCCTTAGGAAAGGAAGAGGAGGTCACCCCCAAGCTAGACAGGAGCCCTGCCATCTCTGACTTATTATTCAGAGACACAGGGGACTCCCGTGGTGGGTGATGTTCATTCAGGTGCTACCTGTCAGCATGGCTGACACTTTTTATATTGCCCTGTCTTCTGAGACTTCCTGCATCCTGCCCCCCTCCTCCACAGGCAGCTTGCCTCATGGCCTGATGGCTCTCCTTGTCTCCCAGACATTTCCCCCAATAAACCCTTGATCTAATCTCATCTTGACATCTGCTTTTCAGAGGTTCCAAAGAACACATGCATCTATTTGTTTGGGCTTGAATTATTCAGGCAGCGAAGGAAAAGAAAGTAAGGAGGTAGAAGAAATTTTGGAAGAGAGAGAATATGTTTTTCTCTGATACATATCATTATCGAATAAAGATGGTAATTATATTCCATGAGAAACATTAAAAAGAGTGAGGTCCCCATTTTGTTTAAATGACTATATTCAGCGTATACCTAAAATTTCAGCCCTTATGGCCATGTAAACTATGACGAAAAATATTCGGTGTCAACTTAAAACCTTCTAGGCAATAGTAGCTTCACAGAAATTTGTTTCAGATGTATGTGTCAAGGAAAAATGAATTTTTTTGAAGACCACTCTCCCAGACCTGAAATCCTGTGTGACCCCTATTCAAGACTGAGTCACACAGCAGAAGGTGAGAAAATACAAGGCTAAATAACACTTCATTATTAGGTAGATCAGGGTCTAAACACCCAAACTAAGATTCAAGGTAGCTAACCTGGGTCACAGCATTTCCTTTTCCTGATTGATGATGGGCCTAAATTTTAGACCCTAAAGTAGCTTAGAACTAAGGCATGACCTGCTCCATGTCCAGCCCTAAATTCCAGACCTGGCTTTCGATCTTCTAATCCAACAACTGGAAAGGCTGCGAGCAGCAGTACCAGAGACGATGTAGTGAAAATGCTTCTTCCTCCATCTCCAGGTAACGTGTGCACCTTTCATAGGATTCACACACAGAAGACAGGACTCAAAAATGCCCCTGGAATCTGACCAACAGAAAATCTGAGGGTCAGGAGACATTGAAAGAGAGAAATAAATCAGAATAAGAGAAGTGCAACAACCAACCAAAATTAAATGTGAAACAGTAACCTCAAACTCTAAAGGATCCCCCCAAAAGGCTGAAGACAGAGAAACGGGGGTGGGTGGATATCCAACAGTCTTAGATTTTCATGTAGTTTTAAATATATAACTTTATTTCTTTGTGTTGTTTTCATGTTAATAAGCATTAAACTCTTGATAAAAGAAAGTGTGGGCAGTGAGGAGAGAGCACGGAGGAACTGGGGATCAGTTATCCAAGTCTGAGCCTGTCCGATGGGTCTTCTCAGGTCTGGTTAAGAAGGGGTTTCTACCTGGGAAGAGAGGAGGGATCAGAGATGTGGGAAGGTGCAAATGTGGGAGGGACACACACTGGGTCGCAAGACCCCCGTAGTCTGCATCCTGCTGGGTACTCTCCTCCCGGGAGCACTGGGATGCGCTGCCCAGGAATCAGGGACAGGGGACAGGGAATTCTAGGAAAGCCATCCTAAGGAATTAGAATCTTATCATCCCTTACCTGACAGTTTAAATGTGGAGAGGAAAGTGACTCATTATTACAAGCTGTAAGAAAAAAAACAACGGCAGTTGAAAATCGTCATAATAAAACTTCAGTAACGGTCGAGGGGCTTGCCGATAACCTTGTCCGAAGGGCCCGGTCACTCAGAAGAAAGGAGGGATGCCCATGACAGGAAATGGAACTGTGCCTTTTTGAGGAAGGGGTCTTGGGCCTCCCTCGCTACGGCCCGACCTGCGAACCAAATTTCAAGGCAGACCCCGGTGGTAAAGCTCTGCTGTCACAGATTTCTAAGAGCACTGCCAGTTCTGGCCTGCCTCCGGGACACCCTGTTCTTCTGGAACATTCCCGGGACACAGCCCAGGGCAGCAGAGCGGGGAGAGGGGCTCTCACCTCATTCCAAGCTGAGCCACGGCTCCATACACTGCTGCCTGCAGTTGTAGAAGCAACACTTCTTGTCCCCCTTGCAACCTCTGTCGCGCCAGCACAGAGGTAAGAGGACGAAAGGGCAGCCAAGTGAAAACTCTGGGCAATATCCAGGTTTCTTTACAACTGAGGAGAAACGCCACAGGGTGAGCTGGGGGCGCCGGAGCGTCGTGGCCAGCAGGCCCCCGGGACCGCTCCGAGGAAGGTTCCCCCACCCCAGCCACGCGCCCGGGGACACGCACCCTTCCGCGGCCTCTGCCGCCCGGGCTGCGCCGTGTGGAGGCCGAGGAGCAGGAGGAGGAGGATCGCGGTGAGTGCGGAGGGGCCGAGCAGCTTCATGGCGCGGCCGAGCGTGTGCGCAACATGCGGGGTGATTCTTGGCTTATATCCCCTCTGGCGGGTGCCCGCCGGCAGGGGGCGCTGTGGTTCCCGGGGGGGGGGTCCCAGGTCCCAGGTCCCAGGTGCCTCCCTCGGACCTGGAAAGAGCAGCCTTCCCGCCACCCCCCAGGAGAGGCCTGGCAGCAACCCCTCTTTTTCAGGGAGGGTCAGGGCTGGCCTGGCCCTTACTACTCGGTGCTTTACGGCGTGGATTTGGAGGCGGTAGGAGGGAACCGGCTTTCCCGGGGCGCTCCTTAGGTCTGACACACTCCGCTCTTCTCACTGTGTCTCCAGAACAATTGAAAGCAGCGGATTTCAGAAATGAGTACATTTGAAGAGCTTACTTTGAAACAGACACAGGCACAAAGACAAGGCAAGAAAACGAGCTATTAGCAAGATCGTATCTAGACTTAGGGAGAATATCAATGCGTTGGGCACCGGAGACAGAACTCGAAGTTGTATGAATGTTTTCTACCTTAACTCCTGTCTTTGTGCCTCCACGACTTTGTGAACACTTCATTTGCTGATCAGGTCTAACTGGAGGTCACTTTGGAACGTGAAACCCAGGCCCCAAGACCCTGCTAGCTCACCCTGCCCCGCCCCTCCCACAAGGGTGCGTTGTTCCTGCTTGCCTAGTGGCAAAGAACATATCCATCCAAACAGATGTATGGATGCTCACAGGAGAATGGGTACCAGCTGTGGGAGGCAGAGAGCTGCTGAAAAGAGTCAGTTCCTGGAGCAGCAACTCTGTCCTGTTCCTTTCTTTCCAGCGCCATGTTGTAGCTACCTCCGGGCGTTTTTCCACTGTTCATCTTCCTTTCTAGCTCTAGCTTGGCCTGTTCTCTGTGAAGTTCAGTCCAAACTTAGAAAAAAAAAAAAAGATCCTTTCCAATAGGTTTAACAGGGCAGTAACTTCAAGTGTCTGCACTTTTATTCTCAAGATTTTTGTTTGCAGTCCCACACGCCCACTCATGACCTTTCTATTTTCAAAGAAACTTGATATTCACTGCAGTTTTATGCTACTAAAATATGACAAAGATATGACATGCAAGGGAAGCTATATGCCAATCTTCCTATAAACGTAAGGCAAAAATCCTAAGCACAATATTAGCTAGTGAATTTTGTCATATATAAAAATGGTGATGCATCATGAACAAGTGGGGACTTATTTCAACCGTATATGATTGGTTTAACATTCAGAAGTCAGCCAGTGGATTAGTCCTTACTAAGAAATAAGAGGAAAATCATATGATCATCTCCACATCAGCAGTAGAATATGTAAAAAATTATTTATCCATTAATGATAAAAGAATATAATGGTATAGGATTAGAAGTTCACTTGGTTACTTTGATAGCAAAGCCTCTATAAAATCCCTACTGCAGAAGTAAGCATTTTCAGAATGGTGGAATAAGAGCTGCTCCTCCATAAGCAGAACGTGTTAGAATATGAACAAATGTTGTCAAAATCAACCTTTTCAGAACTTTGCAACTTACCAAAGGCGTGCAACAATCCATGAAGTGTTTATTCAAGAAGAACAATTGCATCTGGGCAAGAAGAGAGAGCTTCGTGGCAATCTGACTTGCCCCACTCGCATCCCTTTCTTCCTGGCTGGGAGGTAGCCTGGAGGCCAGCAGGCTTGCATTGTGGGGGGTGTGAAAACTAGCAGCATGGCACTCATTGAAGTACAGAGTGCATTTGATGCTACTCGAAAGTTCCATCACCAAAAAAAGGGTCCCTATTTGACCTGTCTGGCAACTTCATAAAAAGAGCCTGTTTTATTTCACCCAACTCAGAGCTTGCTCTTTGTGGTCAGTCCTCTCCTTGGGTCAATTTTTTGACAGTATGGCATCTTCAGACAGTGAGACCAATTGGAGCTAGTGAGAGGCTGACCAAAAAAAAAATAAAAAGAACAAGTGGGGAAGGCCACACACACGTGTGGGGGTGTGTCTAGGCCTAGTGCTATGTACATGCTCTGCGGACAGGCCTGCTGTTCTATTTACATATTGGCCCCATCCTTCATCTTGATTAGGATTTTAGGGCTGATTACGATTGATGTCTTGTACTTGCTGTTTGGGTTGAATATAGTCGCTGTCTTGGGATCTATCTTGGTGTCCGCCTTGTTGTAGGTGAGGGAGTGGTTCTCTCCCTTGCTATTAGCCTGGCATGTCACTGCATATAGGCCACATCCTTGATCTTGATTAGGATAGGATGTGTCTGATTATGATCACTGTCATATACTTGCTTTAAAGTTAGGATATTATAACTGCCTTTGGAGCCAGCCTGGTGTCGGCCTTTTTATCCAGAAGAGTGTGGACCTTGTTCTCTGTTTGGAAATCTGTATGATCCATCTGGTGACTGATAATAAGAGTGTTTGGGCTCAGTTATCTCCAGGGTTCCCTTCCACCTCTCACCCCTCCCCATCTGCTCCTCACCAACTCATCGTGTTCCACAAAGGGCTGTGACTTGGGTTGCAGAAGAATTAGTTCCCATCAGGAAGAAGAATATGTGCCTGAATAGCACCCAGAAAACCCTTAAAAATCATTCTCCTTGACAGCTTTTCCCCGAGCCCACCTCCTACACTCACCACTGAGGCCCATCATAGCTACTTGCTTCTCAAAAATGAGGAGCAGAGAAAGGACAAAGATATTGGACTTCATCTTGCCAGGAAATCCGTGGCTAGAGCTGAATTGAGTTTCTCACATATGCCTTCCTTGACTCTGTGTACCGGGGTTGGCTGAAGTCACAAAAGGCACTGTCCTTTCTTAGCTTATCGATAAATGCCAACTTCCACAGTCCGGCTCAATAGGGGACATTGTTAGAGTCCCCAGGAACTGCACAGAGACACCATGTCAGAGGCCTTTGTTTTCCCCTAAAGCTCCAGCAGATCTTTATCAATACTCATAGGTCATCACGCTAAGCCTTCATTATTTACAGAAGCAATTCAGTACAGAGAGAAGAGACTTACTTCAGGTTATGAAACTAATTCTTCCGTGATGCCATCATTTAAATACTCCATCACAAATATAACTCTGTACTTCTTGTTTCAAAATGGGCTTGAGTTAACATTCTATTTTACCTGAGAAGGAATAGTCATAGAGGTAGAAAGACACTGAAGACAATGCAACTTCATGGAAGCCAAGTAAAGAAGGTTTCAAGAAGCAAACAGTGTGCACCAGTTACGAAACTGGCTGTGAGGTTCATCATGATAAAGACTGACATGTGGAGGCACCTGGGTGGCTCAGTCAGTTAAGTGTCTGCCTTCAGCTCAGGTCATGATCCCAGGATCCTGGGATCAAGCCTTGAGTCAGGCTCCCTAATCAGCAGGGAGCCTGCTTCTCCCTCTCCCTCTGCCTTTCCCCCGACTTCTCTCTCTCTCCCCCTCCCTCTCTTAAATAAATAAATAAAATCTTAAAAAAAAAAAAAGACTGACATATGCCCAAAGCTTTACTGTCTTCAGCTGCTGCTACTAACTTTAATTACAGAAGATTAATTAATAGTTGCTATGTTCAGTTGTCAGTTGGAGAATAGAGAACAGAAGTAGTGTTTTCAAGAAGTCTGAATTTGCAATGGAGTGGGAGTCTGGGCCATACCTGTGGGCAAGGTGAGCCCCAGAGATATTTTCAAAGGATGGGAGGAATTTAACATGTTTTCATGGTGATGGGAATGAGTGTTGGATAAAGAAGTAAGAGTGTTGGTTTCCTTATTGGGGTCTTTTCAGTAAATCTACCTAAACAACAAAATTAATTTTTTAACAAAAAATTTCCTGTGTAAATAGTAAACAGCTACAGCCCAATAGTCTGTGAGGAATATTTGCCACCATCAATGAATTTATTAATATATTGACAGAAGATGCAAAGAGAATATTTCAAACTTATCTAGAGAAGTGCAGTTTCCTGAAAATGTGAGAATGTCCTGAATAGTCCAAAGAACATTCCTTTACTTTGACCCATGAAAATTGGCTTGTGGGCAGACCACAGGACCAGTGGAGCATCCCAGTAGTGACCTTATATGCATTCAGAACACCATGGAGGGTGGTTCTGGAGGAAGGATAGCTTGAAAACGTATTTCCAATCACTCTATACTAAAATCCTGATCTACCTGCAGGGAATGCCATCTGTAAGAGAAAAGGGAAAGACCAACCAATTTTTTATGTAAAGAACATAGATTAAAAATTACTAAGTTGTCAGACATAAGGCATGTGAGCTACACGGTTTCACTGAGCCACTCTGAGCTCCTACCAAGGTTATGTGTGTGCCCCAAGCATGGTAATATCAAAAGCTGAGGGGCAATATTTCCCTAGGGCAGAAACCTGAGCAGATTAAGTTGAAATGTTCCTGAACTATAATTGCCTACAGTGCCTACTGTGCCCTAATTACCTATGCACTTCTTCCCACCATTGCCTCAAGAAAATACCAGAAAACACTCTATTCCAAGCTGACTACTAGAAGAAAAGATCTGACAGTATTAATCCTACTTGTGGATCAAAGAACAAAACCTTTGTCTAATCCTGTGTGCAGAAGGTACAGATAAAACTAGTGGGTGAAGATTTGCAAAAACAACCATACAATTGCAAGCCAAAAATAGCACAAGATAGTGATACTCATATTAGAATAGAATTCAGTGAAATTTGGGGGGAAAAGACATTTCAAAATTAAAAAGGAATGTATTGATAAAAATGGAAGAAGCAATCTGTGCTTTCAAAAGCAGAAAAATGGTATGATTGGTGAATAAATCCTTGGTATGATATCTTGATAGGGGGAGGAAAAGCTCCTCCTGGAAAAATCAAGAAAAGGTTTGGAAAATATTAACATGTATAAAATTTCACATGAGAATGGGAAAATAATATGCTCAAAGACTAAAAGGGGGAATTTTACAGTGTTTTGCAATTCAAAGCAAAATTACTTGACAACATAGAAAATGTAACAGAATTAATTACCTTGTTGCTTTAAGAATAGAGAGAGAACCCAAACTATACAAATATCATGAAAGAAGTATA